CTGTCTGGTGTTGATGAGACGGAATTGGCTGCATGCCGTCAAAAGGTTTTTGATTTGGTTGTGATGGAGGTCAAGTCCGTCAAAGATCAATGTAAGAAGCAAAAGTTAGAGGAGACCATTACTCTGATCAAGATCCTGGATGCATTGGAGGACTTTGAGGACCTGGCGACGGATCACGCTGAAGTTGAGAAGTTCTTGACCAAGATCGAGAATTATGTTGAAAAATCGGTGGACTCAGGGTCCTCACTGAGAAGGCTCATCAGGCGTCGTGTCTTGGCTGGTAAAGGCACAGAGAAGAGTATTACATTGCCTGTTATAAGCTGCGTCGAGACACTGCCGCTCCAGCACATGTATGGCGAAGAGCAGCAGCTTTTTATTCGATCAACAACTGCCAGATTTCAGTCGATGACTGTGGACCAACTGACTCAGGTTATCCAAGACATCCGGGAACTTGGATTTGATGGAGAAAATGCCGCCTATCACCTCCTCGTTTCCGGCTTAGCTGTCGCCGCACTTGCCCCTGTCGATGATAAGGAAAGCAGCACGGCTAAAGAACTCTCTCTTCTGTGCACCGCTGTCACGGATTCAGTTCGGCGTAGCAGATCCATCGAACATTTCACTCTTGCTACCGAATGTATAGATATTCTTCTGCGTAGCCACACACGCTGCATTACTCAGTGGAACATCGACAGTCTTCTGGCATGTGTTGCGGTGTGCGCTTCAAAGGCCGGTCCACTAATTAGTCCGGAATATTCTGCATCAATCTATATTCGACTATGTCGGTTGATGGGCGTACTGTTTGGTATTCACCGCCAGAAACTCGGTGGTCGTTTCCATCTGATTCTGCCTGCCATGCAGCGACTGCTTAACTGCTTGTTCGCTCGCAGTAAGAAACGCACAAGGTCTATGCTGTCGGAGAAGAGATCTGCGCAGCAACCATTCTGGCTTGCACCCCTGCAGGCCGCCCACGCCGTGCACTTTACCCGTCTCCTCACATCACTTTGCGACCCGACCGTTTCTGCGGTGTCGAGGCCCACCCAGACCGGGCTGAGCCACGAAGGCTTGACTGACCAGACCAAGAAAGCTAAGCGTATCGCGGGTCAGTACCTCCAGTACCTCATCATGGAGTATGCGGAGAGCTCCCTGCGCGGCTCACTGGCACCAGAAGTCAAAACTGCCATCCTGCCGGGTCTCTACTCTGTCTTGGATGTGATGTCACGGGATACCATGCGGGCATTGAATGCTGGACTCGATGTATCCGGTCGTGCGATCTTCAAGGGCCTCTATGACGACTACGTGAAGTTCGGCAAGTGGAATAAGGGATGATGGGGTTGTGTGGGTAAAATTAGCGGCGTGAATTAGACTGGACGGTTGCCTGGAGTTGATGGTGGAGTCTAGTGTACGAAACAGACATTGCCTACATATCAAACTCGATAAGTGTATGCGATGTCATCATTGATATGTTGTATATAGATAGCGGCATTGCCTACAATTTATCTGGTTCGAAACCATATTGAAGCCAACATATAATACATATTGTCCTAGAGCCATGTATTCATGATTTGGTATGCGAATCGTTATAGAAATAGTACAAGATGACTTTCCCCCGCCCTGGCATTGTGTTGCTCAAAGAGTGTCATGGCCAATGGCATAATTCGATCGAGAACATGTGATCTTAGTATGTCTCCTAGGCCACCACATGGAATCGGCGTGAGTTGAAGAACCATTTCTATCTAGATTTTGTAGATTACTCCGGTCATTATCCAAGGTAGTCTTCTCGGCGCGTTCCTTTTCTTATTCTGAAGATAAACAAATTCTAATTCCCTAAGGCCCCGTGCCAAGAACAGCAATACACATATGAATTTGCCAGTATTGCATCACTTGGAGTTAAAATTCAAGAGACAAGGGATCTTCGACTAATCCTGGGTCCAAGATTTTCTTCAACGAGATCAGGGGGAACTTTAATATCTTTTCAGGTCTCTTCAGTACACGTGACATCTCCTTATCGTTTATCATCCGCGGGGACACAAAAAGCAAGCCAGTTCCTGCTTACTCGATGTGATCGAGTCAGCACGGGGGAAACGATGAGGCAGCGATTAGATATGCCCAGTCTACCGACTCCACCGTGGTTCCACCAGCCCGATGATCATAGGCTGGAGATGCCGGAGGAGCCCCAGTCATGTCCTGTTTGCGGAGAGCTTATCGCAGATAACGGAGGGTCGTTCACTTTTGTTACTCGACCAGATAGAGCAACCGAAAACCAACGCGCGGTCACCTCTCATTTTCCCCCCTTGGCGGGCGGCTCGTGGAGGGTGATAAGGAAACGGTGGCGCAGCGATCAGATGGTCGGCTTATCAGCCTTTTGTCATGAAGGTTGGTTAACTTCCTCGAGGATTATCGGGGGTGAAGGATGGAGTCTGGAATATCGGGTGCTAGAGCCTCCTCATTGGCTGAACGGGGGGTGGTCAATGACGATGCTGCCTTCCCCATACTGCAACACTGACAACCTTTGTTTTTCTTTATAAAGAAGAAGGAGGGACGGGGGGACGAAGAGAAGGAGGAATACTACTTCACTTTTACTGCTACTGTAGTACATCTCTCTCCTTCTCTCTCCCTCTCTCTCTCCGCCTCCCATCAATTCATCTTGTGTCCCTCGACTCCACTGAACTATCCTTATTCCTTCCTGAATGTAATTTCTCTATTCTTTGAATCATATACCACTACATTTGCCATCAGCTTCACTCTCACTCCCACCCAAGTCCACGGGGCATTCTCAAAGAATGGCGCGAATTAAAGAATGGGTGCCGTCGGAACCCGGCCTGACCAACACACAATTGATGTTGACGAACCATGACTTGCGGCCAGGTGAGATCATTTGAACTGGCCAGCGCATCTCCTCGAGACGCCCTTTGCTGCCGCTTTTCCTTTGTGCACTAGAGATCATATCCCCAGAGGACGAGTAAAGCTGACCGAGTGGACCTTGGGATTGCGTCGTGATGTACAGTCGAACCCGAGCGTCGTCAATGGAAATGGTTCAACTTCGTCGCCTTCTGGATTGCGGACTCCTTGAATATTGTAGGTTACCATCCTTTCATCTTCCCATAGAAAAACATACGGCTAACATCTTCGTCTCGAACAGAACACGTGGATGATCTCGTCCTCGATGATCGTGGATGGTTTGTCGTGGTGGCAGTCATGGATTTGCGTCTGGGTCGGATACTTCATTGCTGCCTGTTTTGTATGCTTGACGGGTCGCATTGGCGCCGTTTACCACATTTCCTTCCCAGTGGTCTGTAGATCCACCTTTGGAGTTTGGGGGTCGCTCTGGCCAGTATTCAATCGAGCTGCAATGGCGGTTATTTGGTACGGTGTTCAGGGTTACATCGGAGGTATGCACTGTGTTCTGGGCCCCTCACTCACCCCATGAGAGTGTTTTATGATGCTGTCATGGTTATCTAACGCAAAATAGGCCAGTGCGTGACATTGATGATCAGCTCAATTTGGCCCAGCTACAACCGCCTCCCCAACTCCATTCCCGCCAGTTCGGGCGTCACAACCAGGGACTTCGTGAGCTTCTTCATCTTTTGGCTACTGTCTCTTCCAGCCCTTTGGTTCCCTGTTCACAAAATCCGCCATCTCTTTACCGTCAAGGCAATCTATTCGCCGATTGCGGCCATCGCTTTTTTCGCCTGGGCCATCGCACGCGCCAAAGGCCTTGGGCCCATTGTGCATCAGCCCCATACCGTACACGGCAGTGCGCTCGCGTGGGCGGTGGTGAAGGCGATTATGAGCTGCCTGGGAAATTTTGCGACGCTGATTGTGAACGATCCCGATTTTTCGAGGTTCGCCAGGAAACCAAAGGATGCACTGTGGTCTCAGCTTCTCACAATTCCCATCGGCTTTGGCATCACCTCTTTCATCGGTATCATTGCGTCCTCATCCTCGGCGGTGATCTTTGGCGGGGAGATGGTGTGGAATCCTCTCGACCTGTTGGGCAAATTCCAGGTTGGCGCCAGCTCAGCGGAGCGATTTGGGATCTTTATAATCTCTACAGGGTTTGCCTTAGCTCAGTTGGGGACGAACATATCTGCAAACTCAGTTTCCGCGGGTACGGACATGACAGCATTGCTTCCGCGATATCTTACAATCCGGCGCGGAAGCTACATTTGCGCTGCAATTGGTTTGGCTATGAATCCGGTAGGTACCCTGATGCGTCTCCTTTGAGGATTATCTGACAGAAGTGCAGTGGAACCTCGTTTCCTCATCCAACAGCTTCACGACTTATCTCTCAGCCTATTCGATCTTCCTTTCTTCCATCGCGGGCCCCATGATCTGTGACTATTACATCGTCCGCAAGGGTTATCTGCGAGTGAAAGAACTGTACACTGCACGGGAGGGCTCCGCATACCGATTTGTCTACGGCTTCTCGTGGCAGGCATATGCCTCGTATATTGCAGGAATCCTCGTCAATATCGTCGGCTTTGCCGGTGCCGTTGGACGCACGGTGCCTGTAGGCGCCCAGTACATCTACAACGTGAACTACTTCTCGGGGATATTTGTGTCTGCCCTCATGTACTACATCCTAACCCGGCTCTTCCCCGTTCCCGCGACTAGCTCCACCTGGTCAGAAGTCGATCAGGACGTGGACAGTATGTCTATTGCGTATGGAGAGGAAGTCGATGCGTACGACGTGCCGGAACCGGCGAAGGCAGATACTCTCAATTATGGCACGCTCCAGGAGCGGAAAGGACCGAAGGCTGGGTCATCGGCCACTGTATGACTAATGAGACTTGATTTATGATACCTGTGCTTAATGATATTGTTTGACTTCATTCTTATACGACTTTAATAATAGAAATGGACGCACGGGAGGGCCATTGTCAGCATTCTTCAATTGAGCCTTATTCTGGAAACTGTAGCTATACCCAGGGAATCTTCCGAAGCAAAAGGGCAGTCGTATTATCCAAAAGCTAACCCACTATTCAAGCTCCTGATATCTTAACCACATTATAAAAGCACATACACCTCCGGCATTGTCATAACACCATACGTTCATTCAACATCAATCACCCACCTTAGCGAGTAGTATATCCACCGTTAGCGAAGATGGTCTGGCCCGTGATCCAGGCGCCCTCCGTGCAGAGGAACCGAACAATCGGAGCGATATCCTCGACCATGGTCAGACGGTTGCCCATACCATTGGACTTGTGGAACTCGACAGCCTCAGGGGATTCCTGGGGGTAGAAGAAGGCTATTTCGAGTGTTGGGTTAAACATTGTTCACTTGCTCTTAGAATTCCTTTGAGGGTAACTTACGGGTGTCCATTGGTCCCGGAGCAATGTTGTTGACGCTGACGCGGCGGGATTGGAGTTCCTTACAGACGCCTCTGTTGACTTGTTAGTGTTTATGCTCGGGATAGGACTCGTGGGTGGAGAAGAATGATATTGGTTATAGTATAGTAAGTAGGTACATACCGAGTGAAATGCTCGACAGGAGCCTTGCTACCAGCGTAGGAAGTATAGTATCCCGTGAAAGCACCGAGGAGGGCCGTGACGATCGTGATGATCTTGCCTCCGTCCGTGACGTGTGCGGCAGCTTCCTTGAGAACGAAGAACGCCGTCTTAGAATTGATCCTGTTTTCCCAATGCGTCAGTTTCATCACTTGTTTCCTGTCCTTGCTCTATATATATATATCTAGAAGCAAAGTGGATCAATCGACCAGGAATAGACCTACGCAAACATAGTATCATATTCCTCCTCCGTGATCTCAGTAATAGGCTTCTTAAGCACCTTGCCCACCGTATTGACGACGATATCAATCTTTCCAAACTCCTTCAGCGCATCCTGGAAGAGCTTCGTCACGGCTCCGGCGGAAGTCAGGTTACCCTGATAGAACGCGACCTTGATGCTGGGGTAGGACTTTTTCAGCTCGGCCTCCAGCGTCGCGGCATCGTTCTTGCTGCTGTCGGAGTGGTAGTGGAGGGCGAGGTTTGCGCCGGAGCTGGCCAGCTCACGGGCGGCGGCGGCCCCGAGGTTCTTGACGCCGCCGGTGATGAGGGCAACTTTTCCGTTGAGGGCCATTTTGTCTTTTCTCTTCTTCGTAGTGTGGGATTGGGTAGTTGGTATAGAGATAAGACGTTGAGGGGGGGGGGGGGGGGTGATTTGTTCGAGTTGTGTTGATACTTCGTC